CAAGTTAGTGACTTCCCACGTTTGGCCATACCAAGCCGCCCCTGTGCAGAAGCTCGAAGGGGAATGCTGCCTGGATTTAACCTGAGAGGCTGTGTGACTGTTTCATTTCCTCCTTGACTCCCTGGGAAACCTGCTGGGGCACAGGCAGATCCACAGCAGTGCGGAGAGCAGTTGTTGGTTACAGAGTAGCAATAAGCTAGTTCACAGGGACCAGGATCGGTCCATCCCTGTGTGTGGTTTACACATGGCTTGAGCTGATGGAGACCTGGGGAGGAGCTTAGCTAGCTCAGCTGCAGGGAGGTGCTCTCTCTTAGAATCATAGAATCATAGAATATAAGGGTTGGAAGGGACCCCAGAAGGTCATCTAGTCCAACCCCCTGCTCAAAGCAGGACCAATTCCCAGTTAAATCATCCCAGCCAGGGCTTTGTCAAGCCTGACCTTAAAAACCTCTAAGGAAGGAGATTCTACCACCTCCCTAGGTAACGCATTCCAGTGTTTCACCACCCTCATAGTGAAAAAGTTTTTCCTAATATCCAATCTAAACCTCCCCCACTGTAACTTGAGACCATTACTCCTCGTTCTGTCATCTGATACCATTGAGAACAGTCTAGAGCCATCCTCTTTGGAACCCCCTTTCAGGTAGTTGAAAGCAGCTATCAAATCCCCCCTCATTCTTCTCTTCTGCAGGCTAAACAATCCCAGCTCCCTCAGCCTCTCCTCATAACTCATGTGTTCCAGTCCCCTAATCATTTTTGTTGCCCTTCGCTGGACTCTCTCCAATTTATCCACATCCTTCTTGAAGTGTGGGGCCCAAAACTGGACACAGTACTCCAGATGAGGCCTCACCAATGTCGAATAGAGGGGAACGATCACGTCCCTCGATCTGCTCGCTATGCCCCTACTTATACATCCCAAAATGCCATTGGCCTTCTTGGCAACAAGGGCACACTGCTGACTCATATCCAGCTTCTCGTCCACTGTCACCCCTAGGTCCTTTTCCGCAGAACTGCTGCCTAGCCATTCGGTCCCTAGTCTGTAGCTGTGCATTGGGTTCTTCCGTCCTAAGTGCAGGACCCTGCACTTATCCTTATTGAACCTCATCAGATTTCTTTTGGCCCAATCCTCCAATTTGTCTAGGTCCTTCTGTATCCTATCCCTCCCCTCCAGCGTATCTTCTGTATCCTATCTACTCCCCTCCAGTGTATCTCTTCCTCTGGGCTCTGAGCATAGCTGGGGTGGGGTTAGTCATTGCTGGGCTGGCCCTACAGTTTGGCCTCTGAGCAGCCCTGGCTGCAAGTGCTGCAGAGATGTATGCTCAAGGGCTTGTGGGACAGAGGGAAAATGCACCTTGTGACTCTCGAGTGCCTATCCCAGCAGCCAGGAGCAGTGTGGATCCCAGCCTCTTCCAGAGGATGCAAGACTTGAGTGGCATCCTGAGTATCCTCTCCCCACACCTCCAAAATAGGCACCATCAGCCAAAGAGTTCCCTACAAACTGGCCCACAGCATCCCCCTTCCCAAGGGGCTGGCTGCGGGTTTCCTCACTGGTCCGTACAGCCCAGTGCCACAGAGTCACTAAAAGCAAAGCACAGCAATCTAACCTGGAAGAGCCCACCCCCTGTGCCTGTCCGCTCTGCACAGGCCCTCTTGAGTCGGTGAGGCCCTGGCTTGGGGGAGATGGAGCCCATGTCCAGCTATATGGGTTCCCTTTATTAAAGAGGCAAAACTTGTTCAGATCTGCACCAAAATAGAACACGGCAATGCCTGAATGAGCCAGTACAGCAAAGCCACTTCCACCCTGCTGAAAGGGGAACTTAATGCTCAGACAGGGCACTTCCTCTAGGTTCTCCGACCCCAAAGTCTGTCCTTAAACCCTGCGTGGAGCTAGAGCCATGCTGGGAGCCAGCCATGTGTAGCCTATAGGAGAGTGGGCTTTATTGCGAGCAGAGAGGAAGCCAGGAGAACCGTGAACCTTAGACCCTCCTCCCTCAACACAACAGGGGAGCTGTTGGAAGCAGTGGGTACAAGTAGCTGGGGGCAGAGGTGTGTGGATACAGTTCTAAGTCAACTCCCTGCCCACGTCCATCAGTGGATCTCCCTGCTGCAGGAAGGGAGAGAACTTTCAAGAGCTTTAACTTCCAGGAAGCGTCTGTGCTGCGAGCACTGAGTGGGCAGCTGAGGAATTCCTGGCTCTTGCTTTCCTAGCCTTTTGGAGGCTGTTGGCAGAGGTGCCAGGGCCCATGTGCTGTAGATAAATCCAGTGCGCTGGGCAGAGATGCTGAGCTCTGGGAAGGGCGACAGCTGGTGAACAGCAGAAACATTCAGATACTTCGTCAGGGATTGAGCAACAAGGCCATAGTCTAAATTTAGCTTGCCCTGTTGCTGCTTACCTTTCCTGGGCAATCAGGGAAGGGTAGAGGGGGAAGAGGTGCTGCAGTTCAACCCCACTAGGGTGCTTTAGCCGGCACTCCGTCCTGCTGGGCGGGGAGGGGGGGTCCTCATTTGATAGAGCCTGTAGGACTGTAGTCCTGTCCAGAGAATGATATTCGGGAAAACATGCCTCATAGTGAGAGACTAAAGAAGCTTGATCTGTTTAGTTTAGCTGAGAGAAGGCTAAGAGGTGACCTAATCACAGTCTGTAGGCACTTAGGTGGGGATATGATTTCTGGTGGCAGACGGCTCTTTAATCTTGCAGCCAAAGGCAGAACAGGACCAATGGCTGGAAGTTACAGCTAGACTGTTAACAGTGTGGGGAATGACCCATTGGAGCAACTTGCCCAGTGGATTCTCCGTCAGGTGGAATCGCTAACTGGAGGTGGGATGTCTTTCTAAAAGATACGCTCTAGCTCAGCCAGAAGAGGAGGGCTTGATTTAGAGATTTCTGGCCAGTTCTGTGCAAGAGGTCAGACCAGGTGAATTACAGTAGTCCCTCCTGGCCTTAAAATCTAGGGAAGTACGGAGGTGGCCACTCCAGTCCAGATCCCCTCACGGTCCTCAGCGCTCTTCTCTTCTGTGCTGGGAGACTAGCCTGCCCCACAGGGGCGTGCGCTCTGCTGCTGGAGGGCTCTGCCTGGGACGCACATGGAATCACGGATTTGAGATTGCCAAGCCCAGCATTTGGGGGTTTATTGGTGCAGTTTAGCATTCCTGGGGCTGACTGACCAACGCTACCTGGCTGTAGGCCGCAATATTGTAGGCAGGTTCAGTGCAAGCTTTATGCATGCACAGCTCTGTCAAGGTGCTTTTATCCTGGCCTGCCGCACCCCGGCCATTCCAGCGCCAAGTGTCAGGGCTGCGTCTGCCCCGTGTGACTTGTCCCTGCACACCGAGGCTGTTGCCTTTTATAGTTTGGTGGAAGTCAGGCTGCGTGTAATGAGGTTCCTAAAAAAAGACACTGGGTCTTGATTTCGTCAAAACCCAGCTTGTGTGTGACTGGCTGCTTCTGTGCATTTGCAGTTACCCTGCCCAGTTTCCTGTCTGCAAGAGCTGGGCGCATGCAGAATCCTTGGTTATGTTACTTGAGGCATAGATCTGAACGTACTTTCTATGCGCTTTTCCATCTGCAGTGTTCTTCCATTCTCCAAGCCAGATGGCTCATGTTCGAAACACTCTAGCTATTGGCTGATTTAGTCAGGCCTAGCTGAAACCAAGCCACATAGTGGCTAAGGGTACCAGGTCCTGCTTACCAAGAAAGACGTGACATTTTGGGGTGGTTGCCCGAAATCACCCTGTGCAGTAATTAAAAATTCCCAATTGGTGATTCAGACGTCTGATCTGAGAATCACCGTGTGGGCAAGGCACAGGCTGGTGGCTAGGGCTAGATTCCGGGGAGCTTCGCAGAGCATACCTTTAGGAGGACAAGCTTAGGAATGGCCAGCGGCTCAGGCATTGTCCGCCATGGACCGTGGTAGCAGGCAATGAGACCACCTCCCCACAGCTCACTTACTCAAAGTTCTTCCTACAGGTCTGCTTGGGCCTGTTTTTACACCTGAACTGGACCTGAGCCCAAGAGTCGTTTTCTGACCAGACACTCCCCTCCTGCCAAACCCGAGTCAGCACTGATGCTTTGTGCCCATGGGAACCAGACAGTGCCTCACTCCTGCCAGCTGCTGCCCCTGCTGCGCTGTGCGTGTTGCAGAGCGAGAGGTGCTGCGGATCCTCGGCACGCTCACGCCAAAGTGCGCACAGCACAGCAAGTGGCAGGAGTGTGGCATGCAGCCACTGCCATGCCCGCCCCTGGGCAGGAGGAGAGTCGACCCACGCCTGAGACAGCCAGGATGCTTTCCAACCAGACTTGAACCCAACACTTGTAGTCTGGTCCTTCGGGATCAGTGATCTAGCTCGTGTTGCTGTACAAATGGGACTACGGACGTACAGTGATTCACCATTCCTATGAAAAGTCAGGGTGGGGGGAGAGATTATATCTGATAATGAGCCGCTTCCAAACTTGCATTTGTACTGCACTGTGTAGCCAGAGTCCCTGCCACACTCCGCAGCAGCAGGGCACATCAGCAGTCTGTTGTCCTGCTGGGGAGACACTTACTCTGATTTCCTCCTCTTTGGGGTCTCTGTTTCTCCGGGTTCAGACAAACATGGGGTAAGAGATGAAATGCAGCCCGTCCTGAGCGCCCTGCACACTCTGGGTAGAGAAACCTGCCCCACTTCTGAAGGCCTGAGTGGACTGAAGAGTGGGTGCCACCATGAAACCACCACCATGGTTGAACCCACATGCCATGTGCTTTTCTGGAGCGTTCTCAGTAGAACACCTAGGATGTGCGCACGGGGGAGACTCTTGTATATCCCCCAGATGATAATGGCATTGCTGCTGCATTGCTAATAGACGTGAAATGGGTAACAGCGACGGGCCAGGGGCTGGTGTCATGTCTGCTGGGTGAGGGAGCAGGAGTGGGTTCTGAGCCTTGGCTGCTCTTACACACATGGGCTTTTTCTAGAGACTCCAAGTTGCAGCCGGTCTCACTGTTTGCTCTTCTTCCTTGCAGGCCTTGTGTGGCTGTACAGTGAACATTCCCACTCTCGACGGGAGGGTGATCCCTCTGCCCTGCAATGACATCATCAAGCCTGGCACCGTGAAAAGACTGCGAGGGGAAGGGCTGCCCTTCCCAAAGGTCCCCACCCAACGGGGAGACTTGATTGTAGAGTTCAAAGTCCGCTTCCCAGACAAAATAGCTCCGCAGACGAGACAGATCCTCAAACAGCACCTGCCGTGCTCCTAGAGCCCTGGGGACGTTCTGCAAGCAGCAATACCTTCTAACACACGTGCCGCAGCATCTGAGCCGCACAAAGCGGAGGTGCCCATTCACACTCCAATGCAAAAAACCCACGCTCCTTTCCACGCGCTCCTGTTAGCCCCAGCCCTTTTGACTGCCTTTTGTCAGCCTCTGTTATACTCTAGCAGCATGGGATTCAGGAGCTGAAACTCCTGGCTAACTCGTGCTGGCTCTCTGGGCTGGGCGCCTTTTCCTGGAGGTTTAGCTTTTCTGCCTGGCCCAAGCAAATGGGCGTGGGCTGCGGGCCCAGGGAATTTTATCCGGTGGTGGTTTTCACATTGCACGCTTTGAAGTCATCTTCCTGGCTAGAGGATGAATTTGTGTCTCCCAGAGAGCGTAGAGGTTCCACACAGTGTACATAGGACTTGGAAGGGTTAGCTTTAGCTTCACCTTTCTGAAGCTTGCTGCTATTGGGTTCCATTAGTACCAAGAATCCAAACAAATTCTGTGAGCGTGCGCACCAAAGGCACGGCTCGTATACACCATGGCCACCCTAGTGGAACCATTTCTAACACGGAACCACAGTACCTATAGTTTACTGGGGTCCGTTCTGCGGTGCCAGGATTACAGCTGATTATCTTCCGTGCTGAATGCAAACACTGAGCTGCAAGGCACCTGGTCTCAGACCCTTCACCCCTCCTGCACCCTTCTTAAAACTTCAGCGTCCCGGCTTTATCGGTTCAGAGCGTGTAAGACAGGTGGGAGTGGAGTCGGGCCAGTGTCCTATCAGGGTGTTTCTGTACATGCTGGCATGCCAAAAACGTACGTCAGGAGAAGGGAGGGGCAGGGGGCCCAGGACGCGAGCTGTCTTGTTCAGGTGTGTTGAGTTTAAATTGCTGCTTTTATTTATAACCCCATAAGGGTTTTTTCTGGAGTGGTTCATCCCAACTCTTCTGGGGATCAATTCAGCCATATGAACATCATATCTGTGAGAACGTAATCCGTGTGTAGCCGAAGTCTAGTGTACAAGCAGAGCCAAGTGTGAGTGGAGCTGAGGTTTGTTATGCTGGCGTTTGAGTTGCACTGTAGGGATTTAGCAGCAAGAAGAATGCGCATGTAGATATTTTTCTTCAGGGCAGATGGAATTCAGGATGTGTTTCGGGGAGCAGCAGGAGGGCATCTGCTTGGGTGGCTTTCTTTTTAAATGCTGTATTTTTTTAAACTTGGATTTCCATTGGGAGAATTTTTATATTTCTTACCTACGTCAGCCTATCTTGCCAATGTCTCTGGGGCCAGGTTCTTCATACAACCTACCTTTTGGGACGGTTCAGAAGCTGATCCAAAGAGGCACAGCATTTCTAGTCACACAGACACCATGAAAGCAGATGGCCATTGCCCTAGGAGTCCTCTGGACGTGAAATGAGAGGTTTTCTCTGGGCTCATTCCCTGTGTCTAGGCCTTCTCAGAGCACCTTTGGAATCCTGCGCTGGTAAGTCTGAGCTGACTTTAAGCTAACTTGGTTTTAACTGAGGTATTCTGGAGTGTCCGTTGATACTCTGCTGTGGGATGTACACCCCAGTCCGCTATGTACAGATGTACAGTATGTAATGCGTAGGGGGAATGGAATCCAGGGCAAAGACATCGTTCTGGAGAGGGGGAAACTGTCACGCAGCGCTTCATTTATAAACCCGTTGGAATGGTTACAATGATGCCCTGTCCCTCCCATGTTACGTGTTCGGTTAGAAAAACATAAACGCTGTTCAGATAACGCTGATGTGGGGAGAGGAACCCAGGGCGGCAGTCCAGGCTGGGAGCTGCTTTGTTTTTCTCAGTTTCAATGAGATCCTGAATGTTTTATAGTGGGTTTGGTTTGTTTGTTTATTTGGGTTTTTTTTTTTGTATTTTTCTTTTTTTTGTAATGTCAGTATTGAGAAAAATAAAGTATTTTAAAAATAAACCTGCTGGCACTGTCAGGGCTGGGGCAGGGCAGGGGTTCCCTCGGACCTGGCGCTCTCGACACACACACGAGCTCTCTGTGACCTCCCATCCCAGCTGAGCCCTGGGTTCTGCCCGAGACAGCTCCCTGCCCCTCCCAGGGGAGCAAACCAGCCCCTGGAGCTCTGCATAAGACTGGGGATTGCTCCTCTGACTGACAAGGGCTCAGTCTGTCTAGTCTAGTCCTTCCTTCGCTTCAGGCCATTGCTCCTTGTCCTGCTCTCTTCTGAGCCTGATCCCGTCTCTCTGAAGCTCTGCCGGTGCTTTTGGCAGCCTGCTAGACTCCCGTGTCCAGCTCCTCGCTCCAAGTGCAGTGTGAAGGGGCGTTCTCAGAGACCTTTACAAGCTGGTTTCCTGCGTGGACAGTGGGGATCTCTCAGCCCTTTTCACAGGAGTAAGTTTGTCCCTTGGCCAAAGTTTCCAGCCCCCCGACCTGTTGGTGATGCGGGGCTTTGGCTGACAGCGGCAACCCCTTCGAGCTCTGTGCGCTCCAGGCATTGCAGCAGAAGGGGCTGCAGCCTGTAAAACACGGTGACCTGGAACCCAGTGTTCTAAAAACCACCAGTTTGAACCTTCCCCCTGAATATCAGCCTTGATTGAAACCAAAACACGGGCCCCGTTCTTCAGCCTCTGCAGCAGTGGTGTAGCTGGAGCCCCCATTCCTCTGAAGCCCCCCTTAAAATGCTCGGACTAGATGGTCACAATGGTCCTGTCTGGCCTGGGAATCCATGAAATCACTCTGCCAGCACTGATGTCCCATCTCTGGAAAGGGCCAGAGCCCAGGAGCATCGAAATCCGCCATTGGTCCTGTGGGGGAGGGGAAAGACTGGGCGGCTTGCTGTCTGCAGATGTCCAAAGGGTGAAAGAACGGGCTTCCCCTAGGATTGCCCCCACTCCAAATCCAGCAGGGCAGACAGATTTCAAAGGCACCATCCCATGGCTCTGCCAAGCCGAGTAGCGTCAGAGGTCTTGTAACGAACTAACGTACCGTAGACTCTTCCATGCTAGCACAGTGGGTCTGCAGGACGGATCAGGGGCTGCTGGTCTCTGGGTTATCCCCTGGTCATTCTTTACTTCCCCTTGCCATGGTCATGTGACAGGCCCAGACCCTCATCCACTGCCCCTGGACACAGGAAACGGCCCCAAGCTAAAACAGTCTCCCACCACCCGCTGCAAAGCCCTGCCCCAAGCGGAGTTCTGACCCTGGGCGGAGAGAAGGCCGCAGACTGCGTGGAGCCCACGAGGGAGCGTGCTTTGCCCAAGTCTGTTCTAGCCAAACGTCTTCCTCTGAGCCTCGATCTCACAGGCCGTTACCTGATCCTGAGCTGAAAAGACCGAAACAGGCTTGTGTGCACGAGCTGGGTCATAGTGGTGTAACTGAATTTTAAGGGCTAGGGCCAGACCCGTGTAACACCCCCGATAACCCAGCACGTGCGGACGGTAGACCGAGAGTGCTAACGCTATAGCACCTCCCAAAGCCGTGGAGCCCAGGCTCTGACCCCCACAGTGCCCACAACAGCTCAGCCTACGTGCCAGGGCATCTGACGCCCGGCTCGGCCAGCGCACAAGAATGAGAGACTCCTGCCCCCTTCATGTGGGACAATATGGGGGAGGTAGAGAGGGAACGTGATCTGCCCAAGGGTACGCAGCCAATCAGCAACGGGGCTGCAAATGGAACCCAGGAGTCCTGGTTCCCTGACATAACCACTAACCCCCTTGCCCCCCGGACAGAGATGCTGCTGACCAGCTGCAATTTCAGGTCCCCCTCCAGTCCCAGGTGTCGGGACTGTCCTGTTGTGAGGTCCAAACCCCTGTCCCCATTTAAGTGAACGTTTCCCATCTGCAGGGCAAAGGGACAGTTTCCCCCGCTCCGGTTTGAGAGGGCCCCCACCTGAGTGGCGCTGTGACCCGGCCCAGGGGGAGGCAGGCTCACGCAGGCTTGGCCCGGCTGCCTCTGCATGTGCACCAGGAGCTCTGCAATGCGAGCAGGCTCTGCCCTCCAAGCGTTTCTCCTGCTGCTGGCAAACACACTTTAACACGGGAATCTGGGTCAAGGGAGGGGGTGTTTGTGCAGTGACACTCACTGCCCCCCAAATGGACCCAGCTGAGGGGTCCTGTTCTCTGCACCGACAAGCTCTGGTTTAGACCATGTTCCTGTTGTCTAATAAACCTTCTGTTTTACTGGCTGGCTGAGAGTCCCGTCTGACTGCGGAGTTGGGGGGCAGGACCCTCTGGCTTCCGCAAGACCCCGCATGAGCGGACTCACTGTGGGAAGCGCACGGAGGGGCAGAGGAGGCTGAATGCTCCGAGGTCGGACCCAGGAAGGGGGAAGCCGGGTGAGCTGTGTGTCCTGCAGACAGGCTGCTCCCAGAGAGGAGACTTCCCCAGAGTCCTGCCTGGCTTCGCAGGGAGCAGATCCAGAGCATCGCCCGGGGACTCCGCGACACCCTCTCCCGCACACTCTGCCTCCTGGCCGCACTCCCCAGCCCTGCTGGGAGGTGACCCTGCCGGGCTGAGCCGGCAGCGCAGCCAGGGTTGGTCCCGGGGCAGGGAATCGCTCCGGCCTCTTGGGAGTGGCGCAATCGGTCAGGCCAGGGCCTGCCCCATCTGGGCTCCCTAAGGACCCACTTGCCTGGAGAGGCCCAGCCAAGCCCCGTCTCCCCCACACTGTCGTCCGCCCCACTGGCTGGGACCTCAGACTGGCCGGGCTTCTGCCCCAGTCCCAGGCAGCTCAGCGCCGGGAGACAGGCGGGGTCCCACAGGCGGTGGGAAGCAGAGACTACCCGGAGCTGGAGGTGCCCTGGGGTCCGGCCAGGGGGCAGAGAGGTGCAGGGGGGTGGGGATGGGGACGGGGACGGGAGAGGAGCCCTCGGCTGGCCGGCGGGCAGGCCGAGAGGAGCAAGTGGTGGGCGGGGGGAGCCAGCGGGGGCTTGGGGTGCAGGGCAAGCGGAGCAGGCCGGGGTCCCTTCTGAGCATGGGCCTGGCTCCATGGCGCCAGTGTAAACCTGGCACTGTGCACGGGGCTGGCTCTGTTCCAGTCCCCCAGACCACCATGCAGCTCCGCCCCGGGCTTCACCCCCCCGCCCCAGCCGAGAGGAGTGCTGCGGGGCAGGGGGAGTGGGTTTTCAGGTGGGATCTGCCCACAGAGAGGACAGTCACTGGGGGGGGGGCAGTCTGGCCAACGGGGCCCAGCCAGAAGCACAAAGTGGGGCACATGGGCTGGGGGTGAAGGGCTGGCACTGCCTTTGACATGGTGCCCTGCTCCGGCTGCTGGAACCCAGACTCCTGCCCATCAGCTGCCTGGCGAGCTCTGTTCCCTGTAGGGCAACCAGGTGTCCCGATTTTATAGGGACAGTCCCGAATTTTGGGTCTTTTTCTAATATAGGCTCCTATTATCCCCCACCCCCGTCCTGATTTTTCACATTTGCTGTCTGGTCACCCTAGTTCCCTGGGACACAGCGTGGCCCCTAAAGCCTGGCTCTGGCCTCGCTGTGGGCGGCTCCCGTGTGGTCCCCAGTGTGAGAGCGAATGCCTCCAGCCCCTCAGCCAGGGAGCTCACAGGCCACTCACCTCTCCAGTTCCTTGGGCACCAGCTTTTACTGAGACCTCAGCTGCCCGCGGGGCAGGGTAACTCTGCACATACCTGGGTGCCAAGCAGGAAGGGATGGGAGGAAACAGAGCAGAATCTACCCAGGGTATTTATCCAGCCCCCTTGGCTGGCTGAGCATTTCTCCAGCGCCTTTCTCCCCCTGTACAGATGGGCGCTGAGCACCACAGAGGCTATGGGTACGTCTACACGGCATTGTAAACCGGGTCTGTGCAAGCCAGGCGTATGGACTCAGTGTTTCCGAGCCCGTGCTCGAGCGTCCGCACTGTCTGGGTCTGCGTCCGCTTCGCACGGCGCAGCCTGTCTGACTTGGGCTCTGCCCCCTGCCCCCAGCAGGGATCCGGGTCCGTAGTGCTTGCTGACCCGCGCCAGACTGCTTTGTGTGCAGACGGAAGGCGGCTTGGGCTCAAACCTGACTTAGAGCCGGGGCTCAGGCTGTGGTGTAGACGCACCCTCAGGGTATGTCTACACTGGAGCTAAAACCCATGGCAGACCTGTGCCAGCTGACAGGGGTCTGGGTCATGGCCGTGTCGACTTCCGGCTTCAGGGCGCCTCCCCCAGCCTTACAACCCAGGCTCCAGCCTGAGCCCAGATGTCTGCACTGCACTTATACAGCCCCTTAGCCTGCACCCTGGGAGCCCGAGTCAGCCAGCATGAACCAGCCACAGGGACATGTCCTAGGTGATTTCCCCAATGTCACACAGGGACTCTGCTGCGGCGCAGGGAAATGAACCCTGCGCTCCTGGGCCATCCAGGCTGAATGGCAGGAGGTGAGATCAGGAGGGCTGGGGATCGGGACCCTCTGCCCCCAGGAAGGGGAGGGAGCCCTGCCCTTGGGGCACTGAAAACTGACAACGCTTTGCAGACGGGGGAGCTATCCTGGGGCAGGCACCTGGGAGGGGCAGGCAGGACGCAGTGGGCCATTCTGTGATCATAGAATCATAGAAGATCAGGGTTGGAAGGGACCTCAGGAGGTCATCTAGTCCAACCCCCTGCTCAAAGCAGGACCAATCCCCAACTAAATCATCCCAGCCAGGGCTTTGTCAAGCCTGACCTTAAAAATATCTAAGGAAGGAGATTCCACCACCTCCCTAGGGAACCCATTCCAGTGTTTCACCACCCTCCTAGTGAAATAGTGTTTCCTAATATCCAGCCTACACCTCCCCCACTGCAACTTGAGACCATTACTCCTTGTTCTGTCATCTGCTACCACTGAGAACAGTCTAGAGCCATCCTCTTTGGAACCCCCTTTCAGGTAGTTGAAAGCAGCTATCAAATCCCCCCTCATTCTTCTCTTCCGCAGACTAAACAATCCCAGTTCCCTCAGCCTCCCCTCATAAGTCATGTGTTCCAGC